AGGAAGGTTGTGAAGTGAGGAAAAGAGAAGAATCACACAGATTTCTTTTCTCTTCCAGTGGAATGAACTATCAATATACTGAGAGGTCATAAGGACATAGAGATGCAATCATATGTGGATAAGGGGAGCTTTAGATATCAATGCAGGAGAAAATGAAAAAAGGGTAAGGCCCAGAGTCCAGAAGGCTAGAGGGGGTTGGGGAAGGGAATTTCAGAAGGACATAAATGAGTGATACATGGCTTTTTCTCAAAAGAAAAGACTTTATAGTGTAGCCAAGGTCCTTCGCTCTTGACGATACCTTCCAGCGTCCTGTCTGAGACCTGTGACAGGAGTGGACCTGGCCAGCAGCTTTTATGAAGGAGGAAGTCCCAGAGCAAAAGGAAAACTTAGTCTGGAGAATGTAGTGCTCTCACAATGCCAGTGGCGTGTCAGTGGGATTCTGTCATGGAACCTGAGCACCATGAGGTCCTCAACAGGCTGCTTGGTAGGAAGAGGTCCAGTATCCTAATCTTTTATTCTTTCTGAAAGGAAGAACGTTCCATTAACAATATTAGACCACTAAGTAATGAGAGTCTCTTTTGGGTAGTCAGCTTTCCATTACTGGTATTGTGCAAGCAAGACAATATATAGGTCATTTGTCAGGAATACTCAAAATGTCCAAGGGTGAGAACAGACCAGCATCTCTACACTTAGGATGTACACCGTGATAAGACAACTTAGGCTCAAGCATGGCCCCTCTATATATACTATACTATGTTTCTGAATCTAAATATTCTTTTTTCTTTTTCTGAAGAGTTTTCTTTTTTTTTTTTTGCTATAAGGTGCATGCATGCACCAGAAAGACAGAGAGACAGAAAGCGAGAAATCACCCCGCAGGGGGGATGGCCACGCCACAATCCCTTCTCCTCTATTCTCCTCTCAGGATCTTGGGCACGCATGCACACGCGCCTGGCGTGAGTTTAAGCCACTGGGTCTGGAACTCAAACTGCGGTCGACTACATGGGAGTCCAATGACATAGCCATTATGCCAACTGCTGGTCCCAAATCTAAATATTTTTTATCTGAACAATGGGTACCGTATCACCAACTTCAGTGATTTCGATATCAGATGAGAATTCACTGTTTCTGAAATGGCACATCCATATATGATGAGCAGTTCAGATGGTACATTCGCTTTTCCTCCCTGGTTGACTGAGAATGTACCGCCATCATGAGTGACACAGGAAGTATCCAAACCAAGAAATTCATGACCAACTGACCACTTTAGAGGAAACAAATGCTTGTTGATGTCCTTCACCCTGGGAAGGCAACAGTACCTAGACAGAAATTGGGGGAAAACTAGCGAAAATGTACAAGACCACACCAAACGTCATCATTTTTTTTTTAAATGTCACCTTTGGGTATGGGTTCAGAACCCATTTTGGTGGTGGCAAGACAACTGGTTTTGGCATGATTTATGATTCTTTGGATTATACAAAGAAAAATGAACCCAAACATAGACTTGCAAGACATGGCCTCAATGAGGAGAAAAAGACCTCAAGAAAACAGTGAGAGGAACACCAGAACAGAATGAAGAAAGTCAGGGGGACTGCAAAGACCAGGGTCGGTGCTGGCAAAAAGTGTAAGGAGTAAAGATTTTGCTCTGACTATCTGCGGTGACTGTGCAGATTTTTCATGACAGGATTAATAAACTCAACATTTTCATGTAAAAAAAAAAGGTACACTCAAAAGTCTTAGTAATACAGTTTATGGAATCACCAATCTTCACCTATCCATTCCTCATGTGAGCTCCCAAACTGGGACACTAACCCTTATCGTGAACCTTCTCTTCTTCCCCACCCACTTCATTGACCCAACACCTTCTCCAAAAGAGACTTAGTGGAAAACATACAATCCCTCCTTTTAGCTCTGGATTACTGGTGGACAGCTCTAGTCCCACTCTTAAAAAATCGTCTACCCTCTTTTCAAAAAGGGTACTGTCATTCAAAACTTCCTGGCCACAGACAAAATATTGCCATTATTGTAACATTCCAGGAGGATGGGCCGTGCATGGTTGGAAGCGCAAATTTCAGAGGCTTTGTAAAAAGGCCAGAAATAACATCTAAGAAACTCAGAAGAATGTAGCCTTTAACAAGTCTGCCTCATAAAAGCCCTTTTTATCTCACTTCAGAGAATTCCTTTGCTTGTGGAGTTATTTTCTTCACTTTGCTGTATTAAGAGTCTTCTTTCTATCCTGGATACACATACACACCCCCAAGAAAACAAAAACAAACTTGGACATTAACAAAGTTAATTGTGTACTTAATTGTGTATTCTTCCCCAAAATCCTTCTATTTCTGCTTCACCCAAGGGGGTTGGGTTTTTCTAAATCTAGAGCTCTTTTTCTCTCCGTCTTTACAGATCTTCCCCCCTCCGCCCCCTTCCCCGTGTCTCATCAGCCTCCTGGCTCCATTATTAAGACACAACTCCTCTCTTCAGCATCCTACTGTTCCCTTGCAGGGTGGCTGTGTTATGCCCTGCCTGTGCCAGTCCTGGGATCTTAAGGCCCCGCTCGCTGCACTGGGGACTACCACTTTTTTCCTCAGCACCCTCCCCATTCCTCAGCCCTTTGAGATACTCTTTTACTCTAGATAACGTCTCTTCCAATCTCGCCAATCATGACCCACCTACTTTGGCCAGATCTCACCATCCTCAGAGCACTGTGGATGCCCCCCATGTCTTTCCTCCTTCGAACCACCTGACACAGCTCAGACTCCCCATGCCACGTGCAAGCTATAAGCAACATGGGGTTCTCCTTCCTGATCATATCCTGGCCCCAGCTTCCTGCCTCCTAACACCAATGTTTCCTTTGTAGGTGGGAATGAAAATCAGAAAAGGCAGTGTTTTATTTCTACAATCCTCATACTACGGCCAATCCCAGTTCACTGGGTTCAATTATACAGAACCATAGCTGAGAGTTTCCTGATGACAACAATTTTACTGGAAGCATTTTCTTTTCTTTCTTTCTTTTTTTTTTTTATTGCTGAAACTGCTAACTGTTTTTAAATATATGTTTTATTTTTTATTATTTTTTCATTTCGTTTTCTTTTATCCATTCAATCACATTATTATTTGTCTTACAAAATGGATATTTTAATAGATGAACATTTCTCCCTAGTACGGTTGATAAAACTACAAAATATCTTCAACAGATAATACCATATTTCTTTGTGCCATTAATGCTTTGTCTCCCAATTTTTCTTCTAAATGCCCTTCCTCAGACCCTCCTCTTTCACACACACAATATCTGGTATTTACATCTATGTAATGAGTTTCAATATCCTTTAGATAATTAGTTTCAGTCATAGAGTGCACACACTCGGTATATATTAAGTGGGGACATACAATGCTTCTCCTTCATAGCATGGCTTGTTTCCCTCAACAGTAAGTCTTCCATATTCATCCACTTCCTGTCAAAAAAAGCCAGGGCTTTGTTGTTTTTTATGGCTTAATAGGAAGCATTTTCTTAGAGAACTTTAAAACATTTACTCTTTCACTCCTACCTGATTTTTTTTCTAAAGAATTATTTAATTTTATTTATTCATTCATTTATTTTAATTTGATAAGAAAGGGGGGGAGAGGAAGTGAGAAAGCAAGCTGCCAGGTCCAGGACTTGAACCATGGTCAGCCATGTGGGAGTGTCCAGCACCTTAACTACCATGCCACCTGCTGGTCCCCTCTCCTACCTGATCTTGACTCACTGAATCAAGTACACAACTAACTTTGGTAACGTCCAAGTTTGTTTTTGCTTTCTTGGGGGCGTGTGTGTGTGTGTGTGTGTCCAGGATAGAGAGAAGATTCTTCATATAGCAGAGTGAAGAAAATATCTCCACAAGCAAAAGTATTCTCTGAAGTGAGATAAACAAAAGTGCTTTTATGAGGTAGACTTGTAAAAGACTGCATTCTTCTGAGTTTTTTAGATGTTATTTCTGGCCTTCTTGCAAAACCTCTGAAATTTGTGCTTCCAGCCACGCACGGCCCATCCTCCTTCTGGAATGTTTTCTATTGGGCACCTAAGAATTTGTATGAGGAGGGGGCCAGTAAGAGCACTGGTGGTTAAGGTGCCGGATTCCCACATGGCCCACCATGGTTTGAGTCCTGGACCTGGTAGCTTGAGAATTACACTGGGCACGTATGCATGCGTGCCCCAAATCTCAGGAGAATGGAGGAGAAGGAATTGTGGCATGACTATCCCCTCTGCTGGGTGATTTTTCACTTTCCCTCTGTGTTTCTCTCCTTCAAGTGCACATGCCCTATGGCAAAAACCTTTTAAAATAAAGAAGAGAAAATTACGTGTGAGAATTGTCATACTTTCCCTCTCCTGACAGAAACTACTAACCGCACTGGGTTTCCATCAGAAGGAAAAAAAAGAATGATTTCACATGAAGCGAGTAGTTATGTAATCCTTTTGTAGAGTTGTATAAACAAAATAATTGGGCTTTGCGGGTGCCCAGAATTCTGAGAAGCAGTGAAACAAACACTCAAATACCTCAGCCTTTTCCATGATTTGATTAACCAAGAAACTGTGCTTTCGTTAAGCTTCATGTAGAAGTTTTCAAATGTATTTTGAGCCATTTTCAGGTTTGTTCTCCTTCTGTCAATCTTGTCTAACCTGATGTATTAGTCAGCATTCTCCAGAGAAACAGACCCAGTAGTATATCCTTAAGTGCTCTAATGTCAATAGTACCTAGTATTATCGTGCTTTTCTTTACTGCATCTCACAGATCTGGGGTTTTTGTTGTTGTTGTTGTGTGTGTGTGTGTTTTTTTAATTGAGCTATAAGTTTTAGCCATAAATTCCAAAATAACAACTCCGTGTCTCCTTTCTCAAGAGGATGCTGTAAGGACCAACAAAATGTCTATCATTTAGCTTACTTACACAGGAGACATCATACTGATATCAAGGACAATAAAAAGGCAAATTCTAAAAAGAAAAACTCCAATCTAGTTATTTTTTTTTTAAGTGTCAGGCTACTAATCATTCAAACGTTCATAGGTCAGAACACCGAGCATAGACGTAGCCTCTGCTCCCTGCCCACCACTGGCACAGCTGTGACAAGCAGCCACAACTGCAACGCCTCTAGGGGCATTGTTTTTTTTTGTAAATTAAGTTTTGTGGCAACCTTGCATGGAGCAGTTCTACCAAGGCCCTTTTCCCAGCAGGGTGTGCTCATTCTTCGAGCTCTCTCCTGTGGCAGTTCTCGCAACATTTCAGACTTTTTCATTATTACTGTGTCTTTTACAATCATCTGTGCTAGTGCTAGTTTTCCTGTTTGAGGCTGCCACAAACCATGCCCCTATAAGATGGTGAACTTAGGGCCAGCAGGAGGTGTGGTGGTTAAGGCAGCTGGATCCCACATGGCCAACTACCTGGTTCCAGTCCCAGCTGGCCCCTCCCCACATTCCGTAATTCACAAGTATGCTTGCTTTCCTGTCAAAGCATCTCTTAGCACACGACCTTATCAACCTCCTCGCTTCACCATTTTCTCACTTTTCCCTTCCCACTGCCATTTCAGATTCCCTGTGTTTGGCATTTAGCGCCTCACTCTGATTCTGTCCAGTTGTGCAGCTTCTCTCCTCCATTTTTGTTTTGTTTTGTTTTGTTTTGTTTGTTTGAGAGCGTGCGCTCGCCAGAGAGAGAGAGAGAGAGAGAAAGAGAGAGAGACAGAAAGCAAGAAATCACCACCCAGTGGGGATGGCCATGCCACAATCCCTTCTCCTCCATTCTCCTCTTGGGATCTTGGGCATGCACGCACATGCGCCTGGCGTGAGTTTAAGCCACCAGGTCCAGGACTCGAACCGCGGTCGACTACATGGGAGTCCAGCAACATAGATAGCCATTACGCTAACTGCTGGTCCCAACTTGTGCATCTTCTCTACTGTTTCTTGTAATTACCCAGAACTCCAGTCACAAATCTTCCCCAAAGAATAGACCCAGATTTCCAGTGGCACCCCAAAAGTATCCACGTCAATTATCACAAGCACCTCAAACTCAACACACCCAGTACTAAATTTATTATCTTACTTCCAACATTGGTTCTTCCCTCCTGCATTACATGTCCATATAAATTGCACAACTTGGGCCAGCCTGTGGCATGGTGGTTGAGGTGCTGGATCCCACATGGTCAGCTCTGCAGTTCAATTCCTGGACCTGGCAGCTTGAGAAATACTCTGGGTACATGTGTGTGCATATCCAGAATTCTGACAGGAGGGAGAAATGGAGACGAGATTGCAGCATGGCCCATTTCCCATAGGGGATGCTTTCTCACTTTCCCTCTCTCATTCTCTCCCGCTGGAGAATACATGTGCCCTCTAGCAAATTAAAAAAAAATAAAATTGGGAACAACTTTTACCCAGTTGCTGAAGCTAGGACCATGGAAGTCAATCTGATCTCTTTCTCTTTCCCTTTCTGTTCCTACACTCAAACTGTCCTTAAGGTCTATATACTTAGTGGAATCTTTTGACCTGAGTTACAAGTTTAATAGGGGCTCTTCAAAGAAAGATCTCGACATGCTCAGTCAAGCACTTTATTGGAAACTGGTTGTGTACGTCAATGGAATCAGATCAAAGTGAAAGCCTCATTTTTACATAACATCCTGGTACTGTGTTGTCTTCTTACATAAGTTAGTAAATCCCAGGATGCTCCTGGTTGTGACGTCAAAGAGCTCGAGTGGTCCAGAGACACCTCTTTATAAATATAAATCTGGGGATCTCTCTTACGATACAAGTCCCTGGGACTGGTTGCAGTGCTGAGAGGCAGTGAGGGGAGTACACATGGCACTAATTACACAGAGGTCGGGCAGAAGGGCTGCTCCAAAAGCATGGGGCACACAGCAGGCGGGGGCTCCTGATCCTGAAGTCCCAAAGGCTGGACAGGCAACTTGGCCCCCTTGTATGTCCCAACGTTGAAGTTCAAAGCTTATAGAGACATAAGGCTCCAGTGTGGAAAAAAAGCCCATCACCCCAATTTCCTTGTCATTGCCAAAAATGGCAGGGCCCTCCTCCAGGTCGCACAGGGGTAGAGATTCTGGCACAGAGAAGGTTCTGGAAAGTTCTACTCACCTCCCTCCCCTTGCCATACTCAGTCCTCCCCTGAATGAGAAAACTTGAGCAACTGGCATCTCGAAGAAAATCACTTTGAACCCATATGCCACTGGTTTCTCGGAATGAGAATGGAGTACCCTCTGCTTGGTTTGACCTGAGGGGCCTGGCAAGGGCTGCTCGCCCCACTAGTGTCTCCCTCACCTCTCTTAAGGCCAGCATCAACAACCAAGTTCTTTGGTTCTTCAAAGCCTCTCAGCACTCAGCATGACACCTGCATGTCTAGGGTGGCTTTACTGCTCACAGTCAGCTTCCCCCTCCACATGTCATTTGGTTCTCACAACCTATGAGGTAGGAAGGACAGGAATCATGATCCCCACTTGAAAGAGAAGCGTTTGGTTCCTTGACCAAATTTGCATAGCTGGCCAATGGCAGAATTGAGAGTAGAACTCAGGTCCAAGTTCCAAGGTCCCTCCTGCCACTTTTCTGAGAACGGCGAAGAGGCTGGGGAGGGGACTGGTGTCCTCATCCCTCCTAGGAGCTTCTCAGACAGCTCCATTGAGGACCGGGTGTGTCCGCATACGATAGATGATGACTGCAGTGGCCGGACATAGCAACAAGGAGGTCATGATGACGATGGTGGCCAGGATGATGAGGACGATGACCCAGATATCCAGGATGTGCTTGGGAAGCACAACTTCCATGGGGACTTGGCTGACTGCATCCATGCTGCTTCACTCTGCAACAGACAGGAAAGGAAATCACCATCGTATTGTCTCCCTGCCTCCTGGGTTGGAAGGCATCCCCAGGAGCCAGAGCCTGGGTCGCTCCCAGCTGTGTGCTCTGTGAGGTTCCTTAACCAGTGATTACAACAGTTGCATTGATGGAGGGCTTTCTATTGCCAGGCTGTGCTGGGCACTTTATGTCGATGAACTCAGTCAGTCCTCACTTCAACCACCAACCCTAACAGGGACTAGAAATACCACCTCTTTATTTATTTACTCATTGGTCTTTATCTTCAGCTATACACATTTCGTAGATGAGGACGCAGCTGTTAACTTGACCAGGGAAGTGCACCCAGATGGATGAGCACGCAGAGCCTCCATGCTACAATACTACCCGTCTGCCCCCTCAGCTAGAAAATAAGGAACTCACTGTTTTTGGACCTGTGCCCCTCCCCTCCCATTCTCCCAGTAGCAAACTCCCTCTTTTCTGAGGAGAACCTACGTATTCTGTGTGGTTTTCCTGGACTCAGGATTGGCCATCACAAACCTTCATGGCTCAGTTCAGGGACAGAAGGCAAGAGGCCCAGGCTAGGCCAGCCAACGTCCTCCCCAGGGCTTTCATGCACAAGCTCTTGGGGAAGATGATTCTGTCAGGTGAGATTGATAAACTGAACAGACGTCAGTCAGGGAAGGATGGGCCTGGGGCCATCTTGCCCACACATGGAGAGCCTATCTTCAAGATGGAAAACCAGATGGAACTCGACCTTGTCGGAGCAGCTAAACCTAGCCAAGATTCATACCATCTGCAACCCCAAACATCCCAGATAGATGAGCCAAGAATTCCCTGTTTTTGCTTAAGTCAACGTCCATTTGATGTCTCTCACTTACGGCTAAGAGCTCAGAGAGATAAAGATGAAAATCAGTTGTTCCCAAACATTTTTGATTCACAGTATCTCTACTGTCTTAGTAATTTTTTTTTACAGCATCCCAGGTCAAAAGAAATACCTAGAAGTTCCAGTCATTAAGTAGTTAGGTTCAAACAATTTAATAAGCATTTCTGTTCTAACATCTTAGCAGCTGTTTAAAAAAAGTAAATATGGGACCAGCAGGTAGCATGATGGTTAAGGTGCTAGACACTCCCACGTGGCTGACCATGGTTCAAGTCCTAGACCTGGTGGCTTGCTTTCTCACTTCCCTTCTCTCTCTCTCTGGTCAAATTAAAATAAATTAACAAATAGATAAAATGAAATAATTCTTTTTAAAAAAAGTTAAATACACAAATTAAAAGAAAAAATATCTTTATTTCATTTTAACCAGTTACTAATGGGATGGGTGCACCTGTTGGGCACTGCACAACTTCTTTTTTTTTTTTTTCTTTTTTTGGAGAAGTTTTTGCTATAGGGTGTGTGCTCGCCAGACAGACAGAGAGAGACAGAGAGAGACAGAAAGCGAGAAATCACCCCCCAGAGGGGATGGCCATGCTGCAGTCCCTTCTCCTCCGTTCTCCTCTTGGGATCTTGGGCATGCACGCACACGCGCCCGGCGTGAGTTTAAGCCACCGGGTCCGGGACTCGAACCGCGGTCAACTACGTGGGAGTCCAGCGACACAGCCATTACGCTAACTGCTGGTCCCAGCACTGTACAATTTCTCAAACTTTGGAATAAGATGGACAGTGTCATCCTACTTCCTTTCCCACATTAATTTTTGCCCAATACTTGCCATAGCACAGCAACCACCAAAACCATAACCTCACAAAACATGACATCGCCGAAAGGATGTAGGACCAATGTTAAACTGTAAACCATCTTGAGCTTGGAACAGTGTCTGAGAGATGGCAAATAGCATTGTTACTGTCAAAAATGCTAAAGATGCTGGGACCAACAGATGGCATAATGGTTGTGCCTCTGGACTCCCATGTAGTCCACTGCAGTTTGAGTCCCAGACTGGTGACTTAAAACTCACTCCAATAGCACGTGCATGAATGCCCAAAAATCCCGAGAGGAGAATGGAGAATCCAAGAGCACGTGCAGCATGCCCAAAAATCCCGAGAGGAGAATGGAGAAGGGACTGCGGTGTGGCCATCCTGCTGGGGGGTGATTTCTCACTTTCTGTCTCTCTGTCTCTCTGGTGAGTGCACATGCCCTATAGCAAAAGTCTCTCTTAAAAAATAAAAAGCTAAAAATGTAGTACCTTCCTACAGCGAGTTTGCTGTGGGTCCCCCACAACATCTCGGTGCACAGCTTGGAAGCATGGATCGATACATCCCCTGCCCAGAGGGCATAAAGCTGGACCAAACAGTCCCCACGGTTCCTTCTACATCCTACCTCCCACTCTTACATAACCACTAGCTTCCTTTCTAATGCCTTTGGCAACATGCTCACGATTGCCACCCTCCGTGAGGTGAGATGCCCAAAGGAGAGTATCCAGGATATACCTACAAGGGTGTAAGTTTCTACTTTATTCGTTATAGCAGCCAACACAAAAATATTGCCCATATAGTAAAATTAAGCAGATTATATCCATACAACGGAATACTAAGCAGTAATTTTCATGTGTTCATTCATTCACTTACACATTTATATATTTCACTTAACACACAGTGCTCACTACACATCAAGCATTGTTCCAAGTACATTACAAGTACTGACTCATCTAATTTTTAAAAAATTATTATTTATTTAATTTTATTTATTCATTCATTTTTTTTTTTAAATTTGACCAGAGACACACACACACACACAGAGAGAGAGAGAGAGGTAAAGAAAAAACCGGGTCGGGGACTCGAACCATGGTCAGCCATGTGGGAGTGTCCAGCACCTCAATCACCACGCCACCTGCTGGTCCCCTGACTCATCTAATTAATACAGCAGTTATGGAAACAGTATGGAGGTGCTTCCAAAAACTAAAAGTGAAGTTACATTTGATCCAGCAATCCTACTTCTGGGTACAAGACCAACAGATTCGAAATCAGTGCATTGAAGAATTTCTGCACTCCCATGTTTATTCCAGTGTTAGCCCCAATATCCAAGATACAGAATCAACCTAAGTATTCATCAAGCATGAATAAATAAAGAAAACGTGCTATTTATAAACAGTGCAATACTATTCAGCTTTTAAAAAGAGGGAAATTATTGTTTGCTAAGAGGACATTATGCTAAGTGAAATAAGCTTGGCACAGGAAGACAGATACATGTCCTTACTTATCCATAGACACTAAAAAAACCACATATACAAGCAGAGAATAGAAGAATAGTTATTAAGAGGCCAATGAATGGAAGGAATGAGATACTGCTCAAAGAGTATAAGGTTTCTCTTACAAAAAATAAATGACAAGTATTTGAGATGAAAAATACTAATTTAGTTAAAGCTTATTAAAAAGAATCTGGGGCTGGCCCTTGGGTGTAACGGTTAAGTCCTGTGCAAAGAAAGCCAGATCCCTTAGGGCAAACTACGGTTCAAATGCAGGACCAGTGGCTTGAGAAACACCAGACGCATGTACACACATGCCCCAAATCCAGATGGAATGGAGAAATGGAAGGAAAAAGATTGGGGCGTGATCACACCCACTGGGAGAGTACCTTCTCGCTCTCATTTCCAGCCCTCTCATGCACAAATGTGCATCCCAGCGCCTGCTAGTAATAAAAAAATGTTTAAACTGATCTCTGGTGAGCTCCCAAATATTTTAAGCAGAAAAAATATATATATTCAGGACTATGTGGATAGGATGATTCTTCTGTTCAAATTTTGTAGAATTAAGTGGACAGACAAGTGGGAATATATTCATAAAAACTTGTGAGTGTAATCACAAATGGTTACCTTCAGGGAGCTGGATAAGACTCTTTTATGCACTAAAATTGGGGACTTGATTTCTGGATGCTCTATAGCCAGTCTGGCTGGATCTACTCCCATGCCAAGATAAAGGAAAAGCCCCTGGCTGGGTTCCCAGGGCTACAGGATTATGGGGGTAGGGGAGGCTGCAGAGGGAGAATCACAGGCCGGCCCTGTCTCAGCAGAGAAATGGAGTCACTTTCTCCAAGGCCTGAGACATACAAGCATGAGTCACAGGAGATGAGAACTGTTAAAGAGGGGTGGGGGCGGGAGAATCACTCTGTGGTCTCTGATTACATCAACAGTTAGCCCGCCTTAGGCCAAAAGAACCCCACAAAAGCCCTTTCCGGTAAACCCATTCACATCAATCAGCCTCAGCGACTCCAAATGCCAGGAATACATAATCCCCCTGGCTGATTTTCATAAGCAAAACCTGTCATTTACAGGCACTCACTCGGGCTTCAGAGCTCATCCACAATGAAGAGTGACAGAACTCAAGGTTAGACACAGTCCTACCTCACAGAGGGCAAAGCCGATCTGGGGTCTTCCCACCTTCCATCTGGCCCTTTTCAGAATGATTCCAACTACATTAGTCTGATCGCACCGCTGCCCCTAACGAAAATAAAGCCAAACAGAACAAGTAGACGAGTAAACTTTTCCTGTAACCTGTAGCCCCAAACCTGTACCAATATTACTTTCTCACAAAAGAAATTGTATTTAAAACCCCAACGGCAAAAATAGATCCAAGTAACACTGCCCTAGAAGCACAGGGAGAGTAGAGAGAGGGGACTGGTTTTCCTGCTCTCTCAGCAGGGCTGGGTAAAGACCCTTGAAGGCTCTAAGTGAAAGGCTAAATGTTCCCCAAGTGCCTTTGGAATGAAAAAGGGTTAATTCAGTGTCTGGCCTTAGCTATCGGGCCCTCAGTATGACTTTCCGATGACCCAGTATTTTAACTGGCACGGTCCATCTAGAACTCCCAGGTGCTTCAGACATTCTTTCTCCTCCTCCCTTTTTCTTCCAGTCAGTCCTTTCTTGACTTCATCGCAGATGAGGGACCTTGTATTTTCTAAGTTCTTGCTTTCAGACATAAAGACTGTAACATCCATCAACAGCTGACACCAAAATTAAAGACAGGATACATGACAGACTCCAGCAGCCAGATCCGACTCCATCCAGAGATAACAAAACCACCAAAGGACCAACAGATGAATCACTCTACCCGTCCATAGCCTCCTGTAAGTCCCAGTAAAAACTCCTAGGCCCCACCTTTTTGGGCCAGAGCAAGTCTCTGCACTTACCACTATCTTAAAGTGAATAATTCTTTTCTACCCACTTTGTGGGTTTGTGAATTCTTTGACAGTTGTGACCAAGGCCACCTTCATATATTGCAGAAAGCACCCTAATACCAAGCACTAGAGATCAGGGTACTCATCCCTTTCACATATGCAATTCAAACTAAAGCAATATTAAACCTAACAAACAAAAGTTACACGGTATCATGAGATTAAACTAGTTTTTCCTTCTGAGCGAATAACTTTCAGAGTGATTTTTTTTAGTGTACCTACTTAGCGCTGCTTGATAACTTGGTGGCTGATCGCCTAAACAGCACAGCCACTCAGCTGTCCCTTGACTTCTTGGGCCCCTCAGAACGTGGTCTGAAAAGCTGGATTGCAATGTCCTCCAACGGCGCTTCCTGGGCCATTCCTCCAGGATGGGAAGGCTGGCCATGACCGTGGACATGGTCTGGTGTCAGTGGGCGCAGGAACCTCTAGCTCCCTTTCACTCTCTCAGATATGTGCCTTTCAGTGGGCCGTTCCTTTCCATGTAATGGAAGATCCAGACAGTTCCATCTCTCCCCATTATGAGCGAAAAATGTTATACCCAAAATAAGAACTAAGCAAACCATACCTTAGGCATTTTTCATGACCTGCTGGAAAAAATTTGCATGAGAAAAAGCAGGACTCTCAGCTTCTGCTAGCTGACTTCTGTCTGACCCGGTTGGCATCCGGGTGCCTTGGCTCTTCAGGATTGCATAAAACCTTGTTTCTTGGTACATCTAATTAATAGTCATAGATCAATTTGCTTATCATTTGCTTCGCAGATTATTGCTTGTTAATTCTGATTAGTGGTTCATGTGGGAATATGACCCGAACCATTCATGTTTCAGATGTAACCCTATCACTGATAAGAACAGGACATTTTTATGCCCATGGGAAGGAAAACAGCAGTCAGGCTTAAACCGCTGTCATTCTCAACTGCCGTATCCTATCAGCTACTTCCCTCATTAATGAATGCTAAACTGTGACATATGCTCAGGGTAAGTTTAACTAAGAAGCTGCATTAGCACCACCATGAGCTCGCTGACAGAGAAACCACTGATAGGAAATGCACCATGCCTTCAGATTACATCCCTGTGAGTTAAATACACCACTACACTGCCAGCCCTGTGAACTAAATACATCCTTGCCGAGCAACTAGTCGATTAATGGAACAGTCCATAACCCCAAACCACTATTTTCTATCAGTCTACATCAGTAACAAGACTGACTAAAGAGTTTTCTTTTCTTAAAAAAAAGAAACACCGTTTCTCCAAAGAAGAAAAATATTGTACTTTTACCAAAGGTGGAAAATTCACACCTTCTATCTAGTACTTCACTCGATCCACTGCAGGCGGGAAAAGAGATTTCCTACTGCCTGACTAGGAAATAAGAACTTATTTTTGTGACCAATTTTCTTTCTTTCTTTCTTTTTCTTTTGCTATAGGGCACATGTGCCTGTTGGAGAGACAGAGAGACAATAAGTGAGAAATTGCCTCTCAGGAGGTATGGCCATGCTGCAATACCTTCGCCTCCATTTTCCTCTTGGGGTTTTGGGCACGCACACACACACGCCCGGTGTGAGTTTTAAGCTCCCGGGTCAGGGACCCAAACGGTGGTCAACTATGTGGGAGTCCAGCAAGGTAACCATTGTGCATGTGCTGATCCTAAGAGGCCAATTTTCTTAAGCAACTAAAAGTCCTTTTGCAAAAGAATCATTGCTTCAGTCAATCCCAACACAAAGCAAGTTTTCTAGTTATAAAATATATATACACATTATATATTATATTTATAAATTTCACTAACTAAAATTTCCCACAAGTTGGTAGTTTTAGAATAACTGGATTCTAGGCCTGAGCTCTCATACTCACTTTTCAACTATGAGACTTCCCAGCAAGCAAATGCTTCCTCTTGACAGGGCAATATTGGTTTTATTTTTGACCAAGTACTATGAAGACAGGCAATACAGCCTAGGATATTCACTAATTTATTCATTTGTCAAGTCATTGCTGACTCAGATATGCTCTTAGGAATTACTATTACTTACTCATTTCCTACTGCCTGGTTAGGACATAAGAACTTACTTTAGACTCTACTTCCAAGAAGCACAGAGAAGTCAAGTACTCCTCCCCTTATTTCCTTCAACACAGGATCTTATAAGCCAGCATCTGTTCAACAAATTGTATTTGCTTACATTTGTAAAAAAAAAAAAAAATTATTTTATTTGTTTAACAAATTGGTATTATTGTATTATGCTAGCCTGGTCCCATACATTACCTTATAAACCTTCACAATAATCCTAATATGGGATATGTTGTTTTATGGCTACAGACACTAGAAATTAAAAGTAAAGAGGTCGCGACCAGCAGATGGCATAAAGACATCGCTGGACTCCCACACAGTCGACTGCAATTCAAGACTTGGACCTGGCATCTTAAAACTCACACTGGGCACGTGTGCGTGTGTGCTCAAAATCCCGAGAGGAGAGAGAAAGAGGGAATTGAGGCACGGCCTTTTCGAAACCCCCAGGAGGGGGAGTGATTTCTCACTTTCTGTCTCTCTCCAGTGAGCACACGCACCCTGTAAGCAAAAATCTCTCTCAAAAAAACCCCCCAAAAAAACAAAACAAAACTAGAGATTAACCAGCCGTACATCATAAAGCTAAGTGAGAGAATTCAAACTCAGTTCTCCTGAACTTATCGTCCCTGTTACATTTACAGCTACCTCCAAAGAGGCCACACGGACCCAAGTGCACGAACATGAATTATACCGGACCCCCAGCTCTCTCCCAACTCTAGGTTAGAATCACTGTTTTTAGCCAAAGGCCATTCCAGATCGAAATAATTAAAAAGAGATATATGCAATCTCTCTCTCTCTGGAAATATATAAATAAATAAACTTAAAACAAAAAGGTTGAAAGTAAAAGGGTACAAAAAACACCAAGCAACCATAAATTATGTAAGCTAGTAGAACTGTCTTATGTCAGACAAAACCAACATGTAAGCAAACAATATTACTAGAAATAGCAAAAAGATAATTAAAAAAAATTATTATGAACCTAATCTCAGAATTATACTGAGAAATAGACAAGTCCACAATTATAGTGGGCAATTCCCACACATCTCTCTCAGATACTGATAAAACAAAAAGGTTTTTAGAATCAGTTATGGAGGGACCAGCAGGTGGCATGGTGGTT